GGGACACCAACTTGGTAAGTTGTTGCCTGGGTGCTTGCCTAGTTGTCACGAGGTGCCACGTGTCACAATTTTACTGGAGTGCCAAATCTACTCTCATCAATTGTGTTTACATCTTTTGCATATTCTGAAAACATCTTATTTTTTTATCTACAAAAAAATAGGGTTTTGACGACGTTAGTTTCGCGACGATTAAACGAAACGTCGTAAAACATTCCACTTTTAACGGCGGCAATGACAAATATCGTAGAAAACGAACCTTTGTCAACGGTTATATAAAACTGTTGGTAAAAGTTACATTTTACGACGTTTAAAATAACGTCGTAAAAACTCTTTCCCGCCAACCACCTTCCTGCCATATGTTTTCGGTGACGTTTGTATCAAACGTCGTCGAAACACAACATTTGATGACGTTTTGTTTTGAACATATAACAACTTTTATTTTAAACGTCACTAAAAGTATTAAATTTTTAGTTATTTATGCTAAGTAATGTTAATCTATTATTTCTACTATTACCACCACATATCATTGTTATTATTACTATTACTACTATTATTATTATTTAATTTTTTAAATTAATTTATTGTAAAATTAATTATAGTTAATTAGATAATACATATAGAAATACGTTTATATATTAACTGATAGTTTTAATTTTTGCAAATTATTTTTAAGTTTTATAAGTATAACTAATGTTTTGAAATAATTAGTTATTTATTTTTATTAGTTTATTCATTATTATCAGAAATTCATATTCAAGTATCAAGTATACTCTCATTTTAATTAAAATTATTTTGAATATTAAAAATTTTAAATATATCCATATTATAGATAATTATAATTAAAATAATTATACATTAATTGTAGTAATGATAGGTAAATAAATAGGTGGAAAATATTTACATTTGATTGGTTGGTTGTAAAAAAAATGAAAAATAGTAGGTAAAGCAACCCCAATAACAATTATTAATTAATTAAATGTTAAATGTTATTTTAATTAATTAATAATATTTTCTATTATATTATAATTGTTATTTTATTGGCAATCATTAATTAATTAACTAGTTTCTTTATTAAGGGTGAGTGTTCAATTTGACTCCGGATCTCTTGCCCACGCCTACCCACAATACACTATCCCCCATGAATTGGGAACATCTCCCCCTGCATAACACTATGTAGAGGATGAGATGTTTGTTCTCCATGTATAACTGCGATAAGCATGGGCAGAGTTCTCGTGGGCAGGAGATCCGAACTCGTTCAATTTAGGTGCATGACTAGGCCTGCAACTTGAAAAATTTGAGAAGGGTTGGATTAGGATAATATTTAAGGTAAAGTTAGAGTTAAAAAGTATGAACCCAACCTAATTGGAGCTTTCAAGTTGAATTAATGTTATGATTGAGTGTTCCACAACTCAAGTTGGGTTTGGTTTACCAATACTTGACATAACCTAGCCTAACTTGCACTAGGGCAGTCAATGGGTTGAGTACAAATTGATGGACAAAAAATCAATTTGGGTCGGTTTCATGTCCTAATACATTATCCTTTGAGCAAGCCAATTGTTCCGAGAACCGGTTAGTTCAGTTATAGGTCTAAAAATTGTAAACCTTGTCGAGCCCAATTCAGTTATAGGTCCTTAAAATTTCTTATCGGGTCGGTTTCAATTCCAACTGGACCCAACCCATTGACATCCCTAACTTGCACCCCCTAATTACAAACCATGTCAAGCCGGATTCAATTATAGGTCCTTAAATTTTCTTATCGAGTCGGTTTTGATTCCAACTAGACCTGATCCAAACCCAATCCATTGACAACCCTAATTTGCACCCCCTAATCATGATCCATTAGGGCGTGCTAATAAAAAAATATTGAATAATAGTGGAAAACATAAAAAAATTATTAAAAATCAAAAAATTCTAAAAATCATATATCTTAATTAAAATATTAAAAATAATAATTATATTTTATTGCAAAAAATACTGAATAACAATGATTGGAGAACCCATCCTCGTCAGGGATCGAGGATGGGGGACAAATTTTATCCCCAAAGGGGATCAGTTACAGAGATGGGGTTAATTTTAGAATCGGGATTGGGGACGGAGAATATCATCCTCACCCCGAACTCACCTCGTTGCCATTCCTACTGTAAACCGTATTTAATATTAATACTAGCAAGGACCCATGCGATGCACGGGAAAATATGAAAGATTTAACAATTTTATTTTATATTAATTAATATTAAATTAATAATCAAAATTTTTTGTTAATTAACTAAAAGTATTCAAAGTTATTGTTAATATCTAAGATTTTAATAACTGTATTTTTATTTAATGTTGATTTACAGAAAATAATTATTTCTAATTTAATATGAATAAATAATTTTAATAAATTTAGTTTTATTAATAATTTGTAGTAATTTTAATAATTGTTATTATTTTTATTATTTTAAATAAATTTTTGATTAAATTTAAATAAATAAAAATAATTAGAAAAACTAACAGTTTTATTAATTTCACTAATAATTAACAATTATATAGGAATGACAACGGGGTGGATTCAGGGCAAGGCACCGACATCCCTGTCCCTGCCCCATCGTTAAGACACTTTATCCCATTCCCACCCTATCCCCAATGTCAAGCGAGTTCAAGGCAAGGCAACCACTCCTCAATGTCAGACGAGTTTAGGGGCAAGGGACCCCACTCCTCATCAAGGATGGGGAGTCCTCGAATTTCCCCCGCCCTGTCCCCAGTATTGAGCAAGTTCAAGTAGAGGTGTAAATCAGGTCATGTTGGGCTAAGTCTTGGGCCAGGTTGGGTTGCAAACCAAGCCAAGCTATGAGAGGTCCATTTAAAAAAATGAAAAATATGTTTATATTTTTATTTCATATGATTTTTGATGTATACAATTGTTTATATATACAATTAGACCTATTTATGTGCCAGGTAAACCGACGGCCCAGCTCGGCCTAACCTGCTATTTTTCAAGCTTGGACAAAATTTTAGGCTCTTGGGCTCGAGCTCGAGCTTTCTCAAATAAGCATAGACTGATACTATTACATATATAAAAAGGTACTTATGTTATAAATAATATATATATATATACTTCTTAAATTATTAATAAATATCAATTTACTATTAGGAAATATAAATTAGTTTATTAATTTATTAAATTATTACTAAATTAATAAAATATTAATTTATAAAAGTATAGTGAAAAAAGACATTTTATGTACAGATTGAGCTTCGGGCTCAAGCTCGGGCTTGCACATTTTCTATTGATAAAGTGGCCAAAACTCTCAGATTAATTTGCACAAACAGGTGAAATAAGCATCTATAAAACTTTTAGTGACGTTTAATTAAACGTTGCCAAAAACAAATTTCTCAATAAAATGTATCACTTTTGGTATCTATAAACGTCACCAAAACTCTCAGATTCGACGACGTTTGTAAACGTTGCGAAACTTCTTAGATTCGGCGACATTTATAAACGTTGTCAAAACGCTTTGATTGGCGACATTTGTCAAACGTCGTCAAATGTTTCGTAAACATCGCTGAAAGTTTTCACAATGTATATGACTGCAACATTTGCGCATATGTCGCCAAAAGTTTTTTGCGACGTTTGGGTGGTAACGTCGCCAAAAAACGTTTTTTTCTTGTATATATTTTGTTTTTTTAAATTTGAGACATTATTCTGATAATCTAATTGATTTATAAAAATGTTCTTTAAACATATATATAATAATTTTAACTATTTTAATTATAATATTACAATCAAACCTAAATGGTTGAACCATTGATCCGAAATCTAGGGCTCAATTAGAAAGGAATACAAATATGTACAGTGTAAATATATACAAAATAATACAGAATGTAAGGTTTTGCATTTTACATATTTATATTTATACTCTAAACTAAGCCTTTGAAAAGAATACAAATACATACAAAATAATACAAATTACAACTTATAAGGTTTTGCTCCATACTCTTTCCAAACTAAGCTCCGCTGTGTTTGGTTGCAATGTAAATAAATTTGCATTGATGCAAAACCATGGCAGTGCAAATGATTTGAATGTAAATTCAGATCTATTTTTTGTTTCAAACTTTAGCTTATTTTGTTTGGTTAAATTAAGAAAGGAAGTAGAATAAAGTAAAATCTAAAACAAAATTAAACAAGAATTTGCATTTTTTACATTTGCACTCTAATGAATTTGTACAAGTGCAAATTTAATAAATTTGCATTGCAACCAAACGCATCCAAAAGGAAAAATGGTTCGATCTTTTGCTTGTTGATGTATCGTAGTTTGTAGGTTTTTGTTTAATGAAATTACATCTTTTAGTAAAAGAAGTCAAAAACTACAAATACATAAATTGCGTTGAAAGCTATCATGTAAAAATCATGTGAAGACGAATGAAAGAGAGAAAAAAAAGAAACGTGCACGTAGGCCGCGTTCTCATTCATTCATCTGCACATATGGAATTGGAAATCACCATTAAAACATTTTATTTTTCGTTTAAATAATAATTTTTCATAGATGCGGCTTCTTTGCACGTTTAACTCGAGTTCTGACACCAACATTAGAAACATTATATACAGTATAGTGGACTTAATCCTTCATATCCAAACAAGGCGTGTACACTGTACAACGGGCTACGTAAACCACTTAAAAAGTAAAGAAGGCCTCCTCCCTATGGTTCAAAAATCCCTAACTGTGATTGTAAATTCCCCCCCTCCATTTTCCACCCCCAATGGTTGGCCATTCATATTTATTTCCCCCCAGACCACCAAGATGCTAACTCACGTTTTCTCATTTTCCACATGCCAATTCCTCCTCAACTTTATGTCCCCTATCGGTACCATACCCGAAAATCTAAAGAGGCTTCCATATATAAATAACATGGTACACAATCCATGTGTATGATGAATAAATGAATGAATGAACCTGTGTGGCGTGTACATATATATATATATATATATATATATATATACCATCACCAGAGTTAATTATTAACAGCGGCAACAGCCAGCCACATCCAGTCAGCGATCGACCGTCGTCTTTCTCTACTGTATCTGCTGATATCCGAACAGCAATGGAGATATCAACTCTAGCCCAAGACAGACGACGTTTCATCAAGTCTCAGAGTCAGAGAAGAAAAGCGGGAATTGTTGCGTCGGCATGCGCAGAGGCCTCGACCCACGCCCCGGCTGGTGCTTGCCCAGCTCGCCTCACCATCTGGCGTAAGTCCCTGCTCTTCAATGGCAATGGCTACACGGTATATAATGATTTGGATGGTAGATTGGTTTTTCGAGTCGATAACTATGCCTGTGATTGGAGGGAGGAGATGTTCCTCATGGACTACGCTGGGAATGTCTTGTTTACCATCAGACGCTGCAGAAAGGTAATAACTAATAACTTCACTGTGAGTCTACAGATCTAAAGCTTGTTTAATTGGTTATTCAATCGTTTTAGTTATTCACTGTGAGATCAGTAACTCTGCACCTGTGTACGATGCTAATTAGCAGAAACTAAGCATCTCAGGGAGCTGGGAAGCCTTCCGAGGTGATAGAGAAGTTTTAGGATGTGGTGCTGATCATGAGAAGCCACTCATCAAGGCCACAAAGATGCTGGGCAACCCTAGCTGCAAGCTAACAGTAGCAACCAGAGACGAGTACCGAATGAAATGGTCAGGCCACGATGGATGGTCAAAGATATACCGAACCACAGCCGGCACGTCTCCGGTGGCCGAGGTAAGAGTAAGAACAAATAACCACATCCATATATAAAGCAATTAATGGGTTTTATTTGTTTAACCCATGCATCAATTCTGCCAAACTATTGTTCTTCTATTGATGTTTGCCCAGAAGCTAATAACTCAAAATATATGCTCTCTGTAATGGCAATGGCAGGTCAGTAGGAAGAGTGGCGCCGCTTCAGAGTCTTTTCTTGGGAAAGATGTGCTTACTCTGACTGTGCAACCGGGTATTGATCAAGCTATGATAATGGCTATGGTTATGATCAATGATGCCATGAGATGAGTTCGAAGAAAATTTTTGACAGCCAATGACCAGATGTAATGCAAATTCAATGTAAATTTCAGAATCAGTCTACCAAGAAACTCATCCACGGCCACACGGGTTCAATCCCAATTACATCCACGTAATGTGTTTTGGTAAACAGAATTTCATTAAAGCATTCTACAATGACTAAAAAACCAAACACAACACAGACAATAGGAGCAGCCACAAGCTAAGGGGTGCAATTGGATTGGCACGATCCGATCCGATCCAATCCGAGATAAGATCTTATTTGGCCTATCCAATTCGATATATATTATATATTTATAAATTTATTATATTATTTATTTTTTATAAAAAATATGTATATGTATGATGAAAATAATTAAAAAATACTTGTATTTTTTTGTTTTTATTTTATTTAAATTAGTATATTTTATTTTCTTTTAATAATTTATTAATTTTTAAAGAAAACAAGTCAGATCAGATCAGATCCAAAGATCCGACTTATCAATAAGATTTAAATTCAAATCAAGTCCATCTGACATGAAAAATGTCGAATCAGGTTCAAATATACCCTGATACGAATATTCTACGTCGATTCACATTTACATTTACATCACAATCAAATGTAGACTAATTGATTTATGTGTTAAATATCAGGTCTATTATCTTTGTGCAAGTAATTTAGCTGTTATCTTTGTGAAAATGAAGTTGGGTTTGATCCTATATTTGTGAAAATTCTATATGTTTTCCAAGGTGAGAGAGTTTCTGCTTAAAAGGTGAAAACAAAGATGCAAAGTAGCCAACGTAAAAATGCCACTCAAGGTGAAAACTTAAAACAAAGAACGAAGAGAGACGTGACGCAAACTTTGAAGTCTCAAGTCTCAACAGAATAAGAGAAGCAATGAGAAATGATTGATGGCTCACAGATCAACTAGTCTTCTCTAAATAGCAAGATTCTCCTTTCCACACAATTCATATGCTTCTAAACAATCTTTTTCTTTGGTAGAAGTTCTTGTTTTTTTGAAGCCATCCCCTCTCTCTCTCTCTCTCTCTCTCTCTCGTTTGTGGTCCAGTCACCGTGTGATTCGGTCCAATTTTCAGAATAGTGCTTTAATGTGTCTTTATCGGATTATTAGTATATCTGATCCATGATCTTACCACACAATTAATTGGCCTAGTGCGGTACATGGCATACACCATTAATTGTTGACAACTTTAAGAGTGATACTATCTTCCTTATTTCTCATCATTCAAAGATAAAAATCTGGAGATGTAGAGGAGGGTTTAGTGATGATACACAACAACCAAATTAATTGAATCTTTTGATAATCTATTAAAATTCAATAAAAGCTAGACTACCAGAGAAATCTTATTATTATTTCATGATCATGATGAGTATTTTATGCATGTAAAAATTCGATGAGTCTAAGCCGTTTGTGTAATTTACCATAGCTTAGGAGCTTGCTTCAAGTTCAAACTATATAGTGAATTTAATAGTTTACGGGCCCAGTTGTTATTTACATGAAAACATTTTGACTATTTCATATAAATTTCTTCCTCAAATTTACCACGCAGTTCCTTTAATATAATTCTATGTATAATTAGGTCCATTACAGTAGCCGCCAGAGTGACTAATAATCTAACAATATTGATTAATAGGAGTAAACCTTTTTTCTACTTAAGTCTCCTTGCAACCAATCTTATTATGTTTTTTATCAACTATTCCATTTTTTTTTTCATTTTTTTAGAACCAAGGTTTTAAAAATCGATCAGAAATGAAACCATTCTAATTACTGGTTTTCAGGTCAGCGGTTTGATCGTCAGAATCAAACAATTCGGATGGTTTGCAACTTTGCATTAGGGAAAATATTATATGTTTATATGAGAGATGAGAATGGAGAAGAGACAGACAAACTGATGTCGGCTGAGAAAGAAAAAAAGAAAGAAGAAAAGAAAGAAAGAAAGAAAGAAGGAGAAAGGAAAAAAAGAAGAGAAAGGAAAGGAAAGGAAGGAGGGAAGGAAGGAAGGAAGAAGAAGGAGGAGGGAAGAAAAAGGAGGAGGGAAGGAGGGAAGAAAAAGGAGGAGGAAAGGAGGGAAGAAGGAAGAGGAGGAGGATGGTTCGATGCTCACCGGCGACGATAATGGTGATGGCGATGGCGAGGTGGCGGCAACAGACACAGATCTGAGTTCTTGGATCTCAGATCCGAGATCGATTTCTCTGCAATGTTTCTTCTTCTTCTTCTTCTTCTTCTTCTTCTTCTTCTCTCTTTGTCATGGATCTCATATCCGAGGTCCTGTGTTTCTTTCCTCTACAACTTTTTTAAAACTGTGAACCGTTGTCCGGGTCAAACGAGTCGATGGTTCAACCGCCCGAGCCAGCGGTTTTCTGACGGAGCCAATGGTTTTTAACCTAAGAACAGGTTAGGGGTGAAATGGAACTGGTTGCTTAGATGGTTTCTGGGCTAAACAGTCCGACCGTCCGGGTCAACAACGTTCAAAAACATTGTTTAGAACACTCAATTTTACTTATTTGCCTCGCTTAATTTATAGGCAATAAGATAACTAAATTCAAAGTATTATTAAACATGATTGAGTGGTAATCCATCATCAATGGCTTCTTTTAAAAATTAACACAACATCATGATGAAAAGAGTAAGGATGCAAATCTGCAAGGGTCAACCCAAAGCCCAATTAACCCGATCAAATTTTGAGTCCAATTGGACTGGGATTTTAAGAAACTGGATTTGCAAAAATCCAGTTTAACACTTTCTGGTTTTGGAATGATCAGGTTAGGGTTGAAGCCTTGAGCAACTTGACTAAAGTCAAACTTGATACATACATACATATACATATTACCATGGTTTTCAAAACCAGACCAGACTAAACTGTCAAACCGAAAAAACTAGGAACTGATCAAGTGGTCGGTTCCATTTTCCATAAAAATCGGATTTTCCCCCAAAACCGTTGATTTTGGTCAGCAAACCGCTGAATTGGGTGGTCAAACCATTCAAACCGTTCAAACGATTTTGACCATTTTTAATTTTTTAACTTTTTAGTCAAAACAGGCCAAGCGTTCGGATCGAACAGTCGGACTGTTCAACCCGATAACTGGACCCCTGACTGGTTCAATCTCGGGGTCGGTTTTAAAATCCATGCATATTACCCTTACTAATATTTTTAAATATTATTAAATACTTATAAAATTTTTATTTAGTCATTAAAAAGGTGAAAATTGCATATTAATACCCTATACTTTAGGTCTAATCTCACTTTGATCCCTGAATTTCGAAACGTATCAACTTAGTACCTATCTAAAGGGTTACATATTTTAAGGTTAGGTTAGGGTTTAGGTACCCTTACCTCAGTTGGGCTTAGCTAACCTCAACCCTGACCTAAACCAACCCAAGTTGCACCCCTTTAAGAGATAGATCATCTCTATAAAAAAAATAAAAAATTATGTAATCAAAATCAAAGGCATTTGCAATCTTTCCCCTCTTGCTTCTTTGAGATGCATAATTAACTTTCTAAAGTTTAAATTTCTTTCCCATCTTACACTTTACTGGACGAAAATATTCCCACGAAGTTCATGTTAATGTATAGATTCTACATTTAAGTGTAGTTACTTTCAGCATTAAAGCTATTCGATAATGACATAATTGGATCCTTTGGGCCGGGTCCAACTTTGACGATACATCCTTAGACTTTCAAGTAGCCAAGATTAAGTTTTCTTGCCTTTCTATATGTAGTAGTCTTCAACTCTTTTGAAGAACTTCATCCCATACTTTGGATGGAGAATTGAAGCTTACCAGTACAGTGTTTGCTTGGAAGTAGAGGCCTCTCTTTGAATTCCATAAATGTTTAGGTTTGATTAGTGCTGTTTTTGGTTTGATAGAAAATATGAGAGAAATAGAAACTTGAGGAAATTTTTTCAAGAAAAAAAAATCCTTGAGAATTTTCCCTCAACACTTTTTATTCAACCAAGTTGAATTGAATTCTGCTTTTACCAATATTGCATACCTCACGGGTAAATATTGATCAAACTTTGCAAAATGGCAAATATTTTTGCCTAAAAATAAATTAAAGCAATGACATAAATAAGCCAACTCAATGGCATCACTCATAAGTGATAGTCTAGAATAGAAAAAATGGCTAGAGAGATATTATGTAAATAACAAGGTCTCAAGGACAAATGTTGGTCAGAGTTTGCAAATTGACAGAATTTAAGCTTAAAAAAATCAAAACAATGAGAGAGAACACAGTTCAACAGACAAACTCACACCAGTGGAATTATGTATAAGCAAAAGCAAATGAGTATAAAAAAAAAAGAACTCTCATCATTCATAATGTGAGAGAAGGTGATAAAACAATAACGCTCCGTTTGATTTGTGGGAATAGGGGTCTGGAATCGGAATCGGAATGGGTTATTCCGATTCTAACTATTTGGTTGGGTGGAATCAGAATCCCATTCTCATTCCTGCTAGAATGTCATTCTCCTACTTGAGGGAATGGTCATTCCTTGTCCCTCCCTTGGGAATGAAATTCTATTCTGCTGATTTTAATTCCTATTCTCATTCCTGTTTGAACCAAATAGACAATGGGAATGGACCGTTCTGATTCTGACTACGAATCAAATGGACCCTAACTTTTGTTCTCTTATGTTTTTTTTTTTTCACAAACAAAGTGTCTTTACTTCAAGTCACAACAAAGCAACAAAATTTAAAATTTAGAACACTACAACAAGTTCAAATTAAACCCATAGAAAAGGAACTCTTGAATTAAAAAAAAAAAAGAAAGAAAAAACTTGAATGAGTTCAAGCGCCCAACAGAAGACAATTTTGTCACCCTCCGCTGAAGGAGGTAGGGAAAAGAAGTAAGCCAAAGACCAAATTTTGTCAGCAATTGTTTATAAAACATTAATCTCCCTTTTTAATCATTGACATATTATTTTGGGCCACATTAGTCATGTTGAGACACAAATAAAGGGAATACAAGTGTACAAGAAAAGGCCACGTTAGCCTTTAAAGAATGTAACTAACAGCCAATCACTAGAACAAACTAACTAACAAACTGGGCAAGTGGAGATGCGGGTATAACAAAATTGTAACAACAGTATATAAATAAGGAAAGGAAGCTAGGAGGGGATTATCGATTTGGGAA